CCGGACCTTTTTTTTTTCATTTATAAGTTATTGTATAGGTTACATACCGTTCAACAAGTTAAAGATTGTATATCATTTACTAGGAGAGACACATTATATAGATTAATTATACTGAGACTGATGCTTTCCAGCCTTTGATTATTGATTTCCAACGCAGCTACAAATAAGTGTCATGTAAGGTTAGACTAGAAAGCACTCTTTTGGTCAGTCAATCAATCAATCAATCAATCAATCAATCAATCAATCAATCAATCAATCAATCAATCAATCAATCAATCAATCAATCAATCAATCAATCAATCAACCAACCAACCAAGTTTGGTATAAAAATCCTACTTCCATCTGTTAAGCTGTTTTTATATCCTTGTTTGTTGCCAATATCTGTACTAATTCTTATTCAAAATCAACTGTACTCTTTTCCTTTTTCCTTCCAGTCTATGAAAAATGACCTTGCAGGCCTTTGAATATTTACCAGTTCTATAACTCAAATAGGTTTTCTACATTAAAAGGGTAGTATGTGTATTTTTGTTACAGTTTTTTCTTTTTTTTTTTTTTTTTTTTTACAAAATTACAACTAACTGGTATAATTCTGGCTTAGATTGTATCTATTTAGAAAAAAACAAAGGTTGTGTTTTTAGGACAGTGAAGAGATGACTCAGACAATAACAATACACTTTTACAAACATGAGTATAAAATGTTAAAAGCTAATAAATTGCGATCTAAATAATAATTTTTATAGCACGGACCATTTTCATTGCAGAAGTATCGCCTATATAAAATACTTAATTGCTTTAAAATCCTACAGATTAGTCTTTTATTTGATTATCTAGGTTATAAATTGTCTTGCAGATATGTTAACATCAAAGATATTTTGCATACTTTAACTGAAACTATTAAAAATAAACACTTCTTGAAGGGGAACAAAAAACTTGGGATATAAAAAAAAACAAAAAAACAATAGCAGCTGCCTTAGTTTTGGTGAAATAACATTAAAGTATTGAATTAATATTAATATAAAAATACAAGTTTGAAACTTAAACAATTTTACCAACTCTAAAGGTTTAAGACCTAATCACTCAATAACTTTGTCTTTGTGTCTGTTGTAACATTTTAAATCTGAAATTATGGATTTCTTTATTCACCTTTCTGAAAAGAAGAAAATAAATGTTGACTTGAAATTAAATTGACATCAAATAGAGCTCTGGATATAAAAGTATCATTACTGATTACACCAGGCATTTATTAAATGCCAGAAGAGAAAAAAAAAAAAAAAAAAAAAAAACAGCCCTCACTTTGGTAAAAATAAAACAGAAAGGTCTTTATCAAGGTAATAACAGGTGTACTGGCAAATTCCCAACAGGAAACTGGTTTAAGGTTTTTTTTCGGCATTTGGTCAACTTTTATTTTTCTGCTTAAAAAAATATTGGGTAAAAACTAAACTGATTTTTTTTTCTGTCTCTCAGTGCTTTCTTTTGTTTTTAGAATACATTTTGGTTATTGGTTAAAAAGAGAAATGTGGCAACACAATAAAATACGCTGACTACATTTGTGAAATGACCTTGAATAGAAATCAGTGGCTGATGAGTCTACATCTGAGTCACAATGAGCTTACAGACATGCTGTTTATTATTGTAGTTTTTTCACAAGTTCTGTAGGAATGACTCATTAACCTCAGCTATCTGAGCTCCAAAGTCATGACACACTTCTTGCTACTCCTAGAGATAAAATATATGACAATTTTAATAAATTAAACATGTGGGGAAATTAAAGAATTTTAGACAATAATGTCTCTTCCCTTGAATTATTAAATAAAGAGTTTTTCAATTATTCTTTGAAGGTGAGTTTGTCTTTTTTAATGATCAAGAGACATTTAACCATTTAAACTATTGCTTGTAAACTCCAGGTAATATGAATTGAACAGATTCAAGACAACAAGCAAAATCACAGAGGTAAGATACACTCCGAGGGCAGAAACAGACCAGAGCTCAGGCACTTATTCTGGACTTCGATGCAAGGTTTCCAAGGCTGTGGGTTTCCATAGAAACCCTTAACAGACTGCAAACAGCACAGAAGGTAGAGCGGTGCTATTTCAACTCGCCTCCCCCTTTCCGTCACTGCCGTCCAACACGCACACACACACTGAAGCAGAAGGATCAACAAGAAGACAAAATGTCAACATCTTGTCTCTTGCTGTAAGAAATATGCCAAAATGCCCAAAGCAGCTGGTTATGTATAAGATCGCTGGATGGAAGTGTTTCATTTAGGTCAGATTTAATTAATGGTCTTACAGGTGACACAGTAACACTGTGATCAGTTGGGCAAAAAGTATTAAATAATCTCTTTTGTTTGTCTTTTCAGTGCTTTTTTTCAGGCTGTCATACACTGCATAAAATTGAAATCTAAATAAAGTCATTTGTTCCTGAATTGAGGAAGAGAGTGAGACATTTTGCAAGTGGAACAAGACAATTCACATTTAAAATAGGTAAAAAATAGCATTGTCATATTTCAAATGCATATTATCTAATTATTTTAAGAATAAGTATACTCATCACATTGGCAAATCATCTTATTTACCTTCTCAAATTAAGTGTAAACACACTGAATTTAGGAATTTTTTACTTAGTTCTAGATCCTTTTTGGAGCGTATGTTTATAAATAAAAAAAATCCAAAACTGCACTCAGATTCTTAAGACAAAGATAGAAAGTATGAGTTTACAAAAAATGTTATTTAAAGCAGGCATCAGGATAAGCTTTAATACTAAACGTGAATTATGTCATAGTGCTACACTTGAAATGGACTTGTTCACTCAAATTGTGCAATTTTTCAAAACATCTCAAGGTTTTTCCCAATTTTTTTTAAAATAATTATATGATGGACAACTTTACACTCATAGCCATACAGAAGAGCATTAAAAAAAAAAGCCCCCATCTTTGAAAGACTTCTCTATAAAAGGTCACACTGAACTGGTTTATTAGAAGGGAAGCATAAAGTGTAGCATGATGCTGCATTTCTTTAACTTTCTTAAAAGTCATCAGCTCGGTCCACCTCCGTTATATGTTTTTCTTATTTAAAGAGGTGCTGTCTGGTGCATCTAATATGATCCTTGTCTGATGACATATGTAGAAAACAGAACTATGAGGACAGAAAGTTCTGTATCTCTGTTCATTGATAAGAATGCTTGCAATGCCTTAACAAGAATAAAACAACTACATATCAAAAAAGCAAACGTAACATACAGTAACTCCTGCATAAAACACATGATGGAGGTTATTCCTCATCCACCATTTTCTTATTGTGAAGAATACTGCAGTGAGAAAGGAAGACCCCCGAATGTGCAAAGGTAGAAGACATGCAGTGCTTCCCCCACTGATAAATGCAACCCACTGGGACACAGCGCAGTAAATTATCAACACACTTCCTCTCATCTTTAAAGTTTACACTTAATATTTTAGTTGCTGTTTTTTTTTTTTTTTTATTTGAGCAAAACAAAACAATGTTCTGATTAGCAGTAGACTTACATTGATTACAGCATCATTTGTTTATGTGGCTTTGACTGTCTGCAGGCATTGATTTACAGCCAAAAACGCAGATTTCTACATTCATTGTGATAAATTCAGCAAAAATATACTTGGAATAAAAGTTTTAACTCTTTGTGGTTGATTTCAACAGCAAAAGTGACCAGTGAGTTCAGGCAAACAGTTTCATCTAAGATGTTACTAATTCTTTTTTGGGAAAAAAGGACATCCATCAAACAGTTACAACAATGAGTTTGATCCTCTGCTGTCTATTAGATGACTTTCCTCCGTCTAGGTCAGTTTAGATCAACTGTTTTGCATGTTTACTTAAATGACTTTATGTTCTGCACACAATTCAATAAAACGGAGAAGATACACCAATGCATAGGACTGAACAGAGAGGCAGAACTACTGCAGCACTAAAGAATTAAACATGTAACTCCTATGGATATGTAGCTACAGGACTAAGCAGCATTATACAAATGTCTGCCACCTGCTTTGAAAAACAAAAATAAACACAAAATAACACTAAATTACATTTAGATTTAAAGTTGCAGGGATTTTGTTGAAATACACGTTATTAAAACAAGCATGTTGCTTTTAATCACTGACATATCTCCTACGGGGGACCAGCAAAAATACGGTTTTGGTTCTTGTTTTGACGAAGAATGAATTAAACACACAACACAATATTTTACGTAATCATTGACGAAATGGACACAGCAGAGATAATTTTTTAAATAATACGTGTGGTAATGTTAAAAAAAAAAAAGGCTACTTCAGTTTTGCACCGCATTGAAAAGTTCTACACTTCTGCTGATGAGTACACGGCTGTTTGCCCATTTACATTTTAAAACATCTACATAGTAAGTAAAAAGAAAAGGAAAAAAAAATGCTTTTGAAGATTGGAGACATCATAAATCGCTTTTACTTTTCCTTTAGAGAAATTTTTATTTATATATATATAAAAAAAAAAAAGATTGACGAGAAAAAAAATCCAATAATTTTTACACTGCCTTTTATTTTATTTTACCTTTATGTTTGTTGATTTTTTTTAATATCTTGGAACTGTTAACTTCCTGTAACTGAAGCACTTTGAGGTTTCATTTGAAATCTAAAGTGCATTTCAAATGTTTTATTATTACTAATATTTTAATAAAGGTTTAGTAAAGGTTTAATAAAGGCCAACAAAACAGGTTTTATACAATGAAAACAAATGTTTATTTCCAACTTATTTATATTATTAGAAGCATAAAAAATCATCATAAATAAATATTCTAAAAATACCTATTAGACTAGATGATTTGAGGATGAACAGACTAAAGTAGTGAGAAGGATTCCTCAAGCAGGAAACATAAACGGTCACCTGATGCCCAACCATGGCTGTAAAATATGCAGAATCTCCTATTTCTTCATTGTAAAGCACCTGGAAGTCAGTAGCTTAAGCATAAAATCTGAAGCAAAAATACTCAAAACGAGTTTATCAGCTGAGAGTTTAAATATTTTATTAATTTCGTTCATTGTTCTTTGGAAATTTTTCTCTGGATAAAATTCAAAGATCAAATACAGCTCCTGTCTGAACTTGGCTGATTAGCAACAACAGTTTTTCAAATAATTCAATTGACTGCATCTGAAGAAGATGGAGAGCTTTATACCAAGAGATGCCTTCAAGATGATCCAGACACCAACAGTAAGAAAATGCAGTAATAATTTATTAAAAGTCACCTGTAAATATCCTATCACTAAAGTTCACAATAATCTCCCTTTTTCACTAGAGCGGAGAAAATCTCTAAGTTATTATTAAAGCTGACTTTTTGAGTTCTGTGGGAAGGTTTGCTCCACAGCAGGGTGCAGATGGTTATACTTGGGTTTGACAGTGATCTGTAGAGTTGCAGTGTAAGGATCTGAGATCAGTATACGGTGCAGCTTCGAATCATCAGGTGAATCGTCCATCTGAGAGTCTTTGGGGAAATCACCGACTGCCTGCTTGGAAGAGTCCACTGGATAAAGTTTGTCTCCTAAGAAGAAGACAACACAACATGAAGTCATGTATAGGTAGCTACTAAACCCATTATCAGAAAGGGATTAAAAAGACATTGCAACAATCAGGAATTTTCTGCACGGAACTCTAAGCTATGTATGTAAATCCTTTTAATTTTGATGATTATGCATACAGATAAAAACCCTTAAAAACCACTGTGGCAGAAAATGTGACTATTAAATAGGAAAGTAATGGAAACATGTGGTGTTACAGGATAATATGCCAATCAACTCTAAACGCCTGCAAAGGTTCCCTGAGTGCTAAATGGTCTGAATCAGGATCAGAAGGTCATACGTGTGGAAGCCTGCTGACTTTATAGATGTTCAAAAGATAAGTCTATGCTAAAATGTAGCTGTTCAAAGCGCTGTATTCAAGCAAACTACGACTTTTAGATAAAGGCAACTTCTGTATTTCAGTTGGGAATCAATGTCATAGTGACTGGAGAAAGAGCGGACAGGCAATTTTTTTTTGTTTTGTTTTGTTTTCACCTATCCTGCAAACAGGAAGCCTGGGTTAATTTCCCAGCTGGGGGGAATGAGCTGCCAGTGTGGGTCCTTAGGCAAGACCCTTCATGCTAATGCCTGCTTTGGGGAGTGGCGGCCTAGTGGTTAAGGCATAGAGCTTGGAATCCAGAGGTTGTGTGTTCAAGCCCCATTCCCATAGACTTAATTTCTTTGCTCTGTACTCGTGACAGTGTAATGACAATAAAACGCTGGTAAAAAGAAAAAAAAAAGTCCAGGCTGTTTGTAACACCATGGTGACAGAAATTACAGGGGAAAGAATGTTGAGAGAAAAAAAATCTATGAGCAATGATGTAAACCAGCCTACTATGCTATGACTTTCTTAAAATGATATTAGGTTGGTAGTTATACTGACCAACATAGTGGACCACCAAGTTTTCTAAAGTCCACACATCTATCCACCAGGACATTTTAAGCACTTCATGCCTCCTTCTGTTGACAAACTAAATGGAGATGCTGATTTCATGATTTCTGTACAAAGTCCAGTAGTTTGCTTTTAACTTTTTTCTTGGAATGACTATAACCTGGATTGTTGTCGCATTCCTATCCTAAAGAGGCTGCTTCAATGCCCATGGTATAACTGGGATAGATTAAACTATAACTGGATCTTTATGCATGCCAAATTGGAAACTAACCTTACAGCCAGTCACAATTAGGGTTGTCAAAAGTATCGAAACTCAAAAAAGTATCGTTACTGAAATGTTGTATCCGAATACAATACTCGTTTTTAAAAGTATCGATACAGTGCCGTCACCAGTGGCACCTAAGCAGTCATTCATCTAAAGTGCAGAATAGAGGAAAATTCACTTTCAGAACACTGTGTGATTGAATAATTCTACGCACTTTTCAGTTTCAGACTGTTTTTCTGTAACAGGTGCAGCTGCTGAGAATTATTTTTGTTTCTTAACCGGTTTGGCTAGTGTCATTGTTATGTGTGCAAAGCATAGCCAAGGAAGGAACACTTAATTTTAATTTTATAAGTTTTTTATCAAGCTTGCTTAATATTATGCACAGCATACAAGCTTTATTGTGTTTATTTATTGTATTTTATTTCTTTGTTTTTATCCTTGTGGTATCGAAAATGGTATCGAGTATCGAATATTTTCCTTAGTATCGGTATCGAGTTGAAAAGTTTAGTATCGTGACAACCCTAGTCACAATAAAAACATATTAAACCAAAACAACAGTTTAACTAGAGAGACATTACACTGACTACAAGACTATAAAAGGCTGATAAGATGAGAAGGTGGAAAATAAGTTAATAAACATTTTATTAAATATGAAGCTGTGGGATATTATAAGTGGAAGATGGGTAATATCCATACCCAACAATGTAAAGGACGTTATACTTATTTACAATAATACAGGTTGATGATGCAGCACTGATGCAGTAATTAAAGCAGACGCCCAACCAGTTACAAAGTGTGACGAAATAAAAACTTTTTTCAGAAACATATTTCAGATTTCTCTTTAAAATATGTCTTATTATTGACTTTGAGTTATATTCTGATAAGACTGTTCAGAGAGATAGTAAATGGTCTGTATTTATAAAGCACTTTATTAAGTCCGAGGACACTACTTTTCCTCCACAGATGCAGGATAAACGCCAACCTCCTGAACCATGGCTGCTCATCTGTAATACATCTACTAGATAAAGTCACTCCTTTGTAATAACTGTCTTTAGTGGTTTTAGTTCATTATCTATAAGCCTTAATCATTCAATCACTTATTAAAAAAAAAAGTGATTTAATAAGTGATAAGCCAAAACAGAAAGCCTGTTTTTTAGAACTCATCACCCTGGATTCAGACACAGGCTTTCCTTCACCTGCAGCAGCCCAATGGCGGCGAAGCTGCTTAAAGCTGGGTTTAAACCGAAAAGAAAGTTAGAGCTAATTAATGTTTAAAAGCATTTTTTAAGCTCTGCAAAAGGCTGAATCTGTGAAGCCCCTGAGGATGACTCTACATGTAGGCTCAAAGTGGGTTGAAAGTTAACCAGAAAATGCAAGACATGAAAACATAAAATGCCATTACAGAGGGAAAAGGGTATCTGTTTAGTCTTTAAATACTGTCATTACGGGGTTTGAAGCAAGGGGTGATACTGTGGTGTGTTAAATCATCAGCCTACCACATTTGGTTTCAAATAGCGATGATGTAATGGTCAGATTGCTATACTCAAAGCAGTCATCCTAGCCAACTAACTTGTGAGATCATGGTATCCAACAGTGTCTATCCTCTAAATATCAGTTATTGGAAGAAACATAGCAGATAATTAGCACCTGGCAGAAGTGAAATATGCTGCTGATCCTGCAGGACAACCACAGGCATCCACTGATCGCAGCCTTCCGTGGCCCGCTGGTAGGCGAAGCTGTGGAGCTCTTTCAGCAGTGGGAAGCGGCAGATGCGGCTAAGCTCGTAGAACTGTGGAGGAGCGATCCAAAGCTGCCGCGCCTGGTAGCTCCGCAGGATCTCCGAAGGTGACGACCACTTAGACACAGAGCAAGAGGTAAAGTTTGGTTAAATCTGCCGTCTTTTCCCTGACGTCTGTGAAATCTTAAGAAAATCACAATAATCTAATATGGTGAATATGCTGATGTTTTAGACAATCAAGCTGGTTATCTTTAACCTTTGAGATAAAGCAAAACAGTTAAACATTTTCCAGAGACATTAAACAAATCAAATGGTAAGTAAAAACTAGTTTTAAACTGGTGATAACATGTATGACATTTCCAAGATGATGGAGCACTAATTAAAAATAATACGTCAACTTCCTGAAAGGGATTCATCAGCATCGACCAATTTGCTTTAAATAATTTAAAGGCAAAGGAAAACACACAACAGCCAATTCAATTATATGTTCATCCCTAGCTAAATATGCTGATCAAGTCTTCAGGTCAAGTTTTGAAAGATAAAGGCCCTGGATATCCAGATCCCGGGATCATATATGAAACTTGATGACAGTTAATTCAACTTCAGAATTCAGATGATGGTAGTGGTGTTGCCTTGCAGGGAGAAGGTTCCAGGTTCGATTCCTGGTCCAGGGTCTTTCTGCTTGGTGTTTGCATGTTCTCCCTGTGCATGTGTGGGTTCTCTCTGGGTACTCCGGTGTCCTCCCACATTACAACAACAATGACTGTTCGGTTAATGGGCATCTCTAAATTTCTCTTAGGTGTGAGTGTGTCCAGGGTGTACCCCGCCTCTCGCTCTTAGACTGCCGGAGATAAGGACCGGCCCCACCGTGACTCTGAGAAGGAATAAGCAGGAGAAAATGGACGGATGAATTCTAATGATAGGCTTCAAGGTGGCACAGTGTAGCGCTGCTGCCCTGCAGGAAGAAGGTCCTGGCATTGATCTGTATCCTGGGATTTCTACATAGAGTTTGCCGGTTCACTGCATGTGTGGGTTTTTTCTGGGTACTCCAGCTTCCTCCCAAAGTCTAAAAGTGTTTGTGCGTGGTTTTATTATTGTGTGTTGTTGTTGTTGACATTAATTAAACAGCACTTAGAACGAGCAAACCTCAGCTGCATCTGTAGGATATGTTTTCAGGTCTAACTTTTTATAGATTTCTGAACTCACCTGAAAGCGTTCAATTTCCCTCTCATCTTCCAGAGTTCTGGGGATCTCCTGCAAGCAGCACATGAAGAAGGCTGTGTCAAACCTCCTCTTCCCATATCTGTTGCTGGGGGTCAGCCAGTTCGCCCACTCATGCAGAGCCCAGATGTTGGGCAGCACCTCCAACTCCTGACACATCCTGATGAAGTTAGAGGGGTTCCTGTTCACCAGAGCTCTCCACTTTGAGAGCTCATCACCATCCAGTTCATGGGCTCTGTGATGCTGACTGCAAAATGTGTCCTGGAAGCTTTCAATGAGGCGCTTCTCTTCTGTTTTAGGCACAACAAGCAACACCCCTGATTCCTCAAAAGTCTCCCTTACAGCGCAGATTCGCAGAGCGACCTCTCCAGGGATGGGAGAGCCGAGTTTTAATCGGTTGGTGGCAAATATCGGGGGTCTGCTCTCCGCTGGCTGCTTAACGCTCCTCAAACCAAAACCAGGGGAATTAAGAAAGGATTTAAAGACGTCCAACCAATCGCTTGAAAAGTCAGAGGAATCCAGCTTACCGCCGGGAAAAACATAGGCGTTAGGCATGAATGTGCTTTGAGCGCTACGTTTAAGTAACAACACGTCGTAATCGAAGCGGGAGCAGCGGGACGTGGAGCCGCTGCCGTCCAGCGGTGTCCTTGGTGACAAAGTGTCCGAACCGAGCCTGCGTCCCGCGGTTAGGATGAGAGTGGCCGCCTCCTTCCACTGCTTCAGAGAGGTGTTCATCTTCAAACTATCAGGGGGGTTAACACTTAAAAGGTTTGCGGTTTGTGAAAGTTTGAAACAACAGTCAGCTGCTTCTGATTTGTTTTGGAGGAAGTGACGTTTGAAGAGTTATGCACCACTAGCGCCACCACCAGGCCGGAGGCCTCTTCTTCTTCTTGTTTACATTTTTATTGTGGTTGGCAAAAACGTTATGTGAGCATTACCGCCACCAATTGGTAAGGAGTGTGAACCACATGCCAAAAAAACAAACAAACAAACAAATAAACAGAAAAAACAACAACAAAAAAGACTATATCCTGTTATACAATTTAAACTGTTTCAAAAACTGAAATATAACCTGATATCCTCTACTTCCTGATTCATTTTCAGTAAATCAATAATTTACTGAAGTTAGTTAGTTAGTTAGTTAGTTTAATTTTCATATTACTAAGTTTCCTAATTAACTTGTGTCTCTGAATCAAATATTTCCTACAACTCAAAATAACATGTTCCACTGTCTCATCTTCCCCACGGTCACATTTCCATGTCTGATGTTTCCCTATCAAAGAAATAAAATAAAATAAAAATAATGACCTATTTAATCCTGTGTGTCCTATTCTAAGTCGTGAAATAATTATCTCTTCTCTCCTGTTCCTTTCTGTTCTTCTCATTTGTCCAGTTAGGCCAGAGGCCTCAGAGACCCATGGTAATACGTCACAATTGTTTTATAGGCTAATATATGTTTATTGCAATTTCATGTAGCATGCAAGAAATACTCAGCGGCTCCCAGCACTAACAGCACACACTGAAAACACAATTATACATAGATTATTAAAAAAGAGTGGAGTAAGCATCCAATAAATGAAGGGACATACAACTAGTTAAGGGGGTTGGAAGAAAAGTAAAACATTAAGTAATTTTTTCAAAGTAACAGTTTAGTTTATTTGATTTAAAGTCTTTTAGTTTTACATAAGTTAAATATGATTAAATTTGATCTCCATCTAATTTATGAGATATGTTGTAATGCTAGTCCTTCTGTGCAGCCAGAATTTTAATTTAATACATGAAATTATAGATTTTTTTGTTGTTTTTCTCATTACACTGTCACAAGTCAGAGCAACGAAATGAACCCTCTGCATTTAACCCATCCCCTTGGGGAGTAGTGGGCTGCCATTGTGCGGCACCTGGGGAGCAGTGTGGGGTTAAGGTTTTTGCCCTGAGTGGCGGTGGCACTTGAACTCAGAACCTCAAAATAAAATTCAAAATAGATCAAATCTATTTTGTACAAACAGTTAATGTATGTTCTTTTTTGTTGTTGTTGAAAATATTGCTCAAACAAAGTTTTTTCTTGGAATTATCTTTTGTATAAATGGTACTCCATAAATGAACTTGTCTTGTCAGACGGTGGTCTATTGGCTTGGGATATATTTTTTGGCAAAATTTGAGCTGCTTATTTTCACCCCTTTATAAAAAAAGGTTAATGGCTTATGGCTACTTTAAGCAAGGCAAGTAATTTATGAAAAATACACCAACATAACTTTAGTCCCTATTATTCACCTGACCAACATGCATTAAAGCACCTTTGGAATGTGGTGAGACAGTAGATTGCCATCATCAATGTGCAGCTAAAAAATTTGCAACAGCTGCGTGATTCAGGGCAGCATAGTGGTGCAGCACTGCTGCGTTTAAGCAAGAAGGTTCCTGGTTCGATTCCTCACTCAGGGTCTCTTGCATGGAGTTTGCATGTTCTCCCTGAGTAAGCATGGGTTCTCTCTGGGTACTCCGGCTTCCTCCAATAGTCCAAAAACTTGACTGTCAGGTTAATTGGCTTCTCTAAATTCTCCTTAGGTTTGAGTGTGAATGGTTGTTTCTTCTATTTGTCTCTGTGTTGTGCTGCAATAGACTGGTGACCCTGCCTCTTGCCCACTGACAGCTTGAGATAGACACCAGTACTCTTCGCGACCCCAGCAGGGATAATGGTGTTGGAAACTATGTAATTCTGTCCTGTCTAAATGGATCAGAATCTTTTAGGAAGGTTTAACAGCTAAATAAATCTCATTCTCAATGAACTAAAGTAATTCTGAAAAACTAAGTAGGTCCAAACAGATTCTGGCAAGATCAACATAAAGTGGCCAGTAAGTGCATTCTTACTGTGCAGTCTTTGTAACAATAAGAGAGATATGCAGTTTTACTAATTGTATCACATACAGCTCCTTGAATCAACTCATTAATGCTTCACAGCCTGCTGCAAAAACCATGGAGGGCTGTCATTGTTTGATTTAATCAAACAAGAACCTTTTATTTTATTTTCATCTCATGAATCAGATTTATTTAATTAAAAACAAATCTTTACAGAATTGTTTTTAAGTTTTTAAGCATAAAACTTCACTGTCTCAGGTGTGGTCTAAGCTAACAGAAAGACCACACTGTAAAAAACAAGATGAAGTAAAGATTATGGGGATTTCTTTTCACATCAACGGTCCTTTGAAGGCAGCATTTTGTGGCTGGGAACAAAATCAGATTCTAAGCTTTCCCAAATGTGTCTGAGACTCAGTCATATTGTTCTTTTTCTTCATGGGGTTACTGAGTTTATATGTCAGTGTGTTCCTGTGCTAGAAGATTACAGTCTCCTGTGAGGCAACTGTTCAACAATCCTCATGCAAAAAAGCAGGTGAGCTAGTGCTTTGGAAGGGATACAAACTATTATTGTATAAAAAAAAGTTGATTTTAGGAAAACTTTACCTTTTTTAAACTGTATTTGTATATGTGAGCTGTGTTGCAATGAAAATCATATCAGAATTCTTGATGTCACCTTTTAAAACTGCCTGAGTAAAAAAAAATTCAAACAAATCATCAGCATCATTAGTCCAGTCATGACTCCGTCAAGGTATTACACTGTGTAAAAAAAAAAAAAGGAAAAAACTACAAAAACTACAGTATATTAAACCAGTGTATAATGAAAAGGCAATGTGCCACACACAAATCCACACACACACACATACTCAAAATGTGCATGCCCACAACTTCAGAGGTTTCATATATCTCTATCAAAGAGCCTTTGTGAAGAAGTCGGGTTATTTAAGCTCCAATGGAAGGAAGTGATTCAGGGTTTTTAGTATTAAAAAAAAGGAAAACGTTCAGAGTTGACATTGTGACTCCATCAACCAGAAATTCAGCTCTAGATGCAGTAATAATTTTAAAATGTGTTTAAAAAACATTGAATACAGAGTGTTTTATCTTCCACACTAGTATCCTGTTAATAAATCATAATAAAACTTAAAACAACAAACCAAACCTGTTTAATATTGTCCTCTCATAAGGTGTTGCTCAGTTTCTCTGTGGATGCTTCAATCGAAGCTCTCACCACTGCACAGTAATAACTCATGCATTTCTGTTGTGGGTGTGAGCCATTCCCCTTTCTGTTTGGGACTACCTGTCATGACCAATAAGAACGAGGAACCTCCCACCAGAGGAGTGTGTTCAGTTTCATGGAGCCACAATGTTTCTCTCAGGTCAGACTTTCCTGCTGCCCTTCCTTGGCTAAGCATCATCTATTTGCTGTCATCAGCTGCATGTTTTTGAACAAGCTGCTGTGGAAATTTATGGACTCTTACCAAAGGCCTTTGAAACCATAAGTAAGTGAACAGATTAGATGATTTCCCAGGTTAAATTATTGATGTTCTTTGCTTCTTTAGCAGTTAAACACTTGTTTCATTATATATTAACAAATGGAGAAGTTAAATATTATCTGTGGGGGGATCGAAATCAACACCTAGGCTTCCTGTGATGTGTCTCCTAAAGTTAATGTGACTCTGTGTATTTTCTAAGAATTAAGAAGAATGTATTAATAATAAAGTAATTTGCTAAAGACCAGAATATATATTTTACATTTAAATTCCAAACTCAGTTAACTTTTTTTTTTTTTTTTTTTGCTATCGTACGATAACAGACACCTATCTAAAACTTTGTTTTACTTGTTGCAGATGTTAGTGCATGGGTTAATAATTAAAAAAAAGTTTTACAAACAAAAACAATATGTCCCAAATGTTGCCCAAATATTTACTAGAGTAAATATTTGTAACAATCCAGAATCTTACAGACTCGAATAGATTTTAAGATAATCAGCTGTTGAAAACAGTAACCTAACCTGGGTTCAGCAATTCTCTCTTGGTATCAATAAAATAAACTAGTACATATTATTTTCCAATAAAAACAAATGACTGCAGCATAAGCTGAGATTGTTGTGACAACTAGCTCTAAAATATGTCCCTTAGTTCCTAGATTGTAAGATCATACTGAAGATTTCACAAAAAGCTGTCTAAATATGGCAAGGCAGCTTTATTTATATAGCATTGTACCAAAAACAATTGGAAACACACAGTGAAAAGTATTTTGAGAGATAAAAATGATAATAAAATGATTAATAATAAAGTGAAAAGTTGCACTAAAAACGTAAAATAACAGTATTTAGATAGGACAATCAAAGGTTGCTCCACACAAATATGATTTAAAGCAAATTTATGTTTTAGCACTTTGTTCGTGAAGTACGCACATTTTTTTTTTCCTAAACAAAAATTAATTGCAAAACACAGAAGCCAAAGAACATGGTTATAAAAAGGAATCAAACATAGCGTAGAGGTCTGCCAGAATAGTTTCTGTTGTCATAAACTTCACAGACTTGTTCATTACATTGATTGATGACATTTATCTTCAGAATGCTTGAAAACTGTATCAAGATGTTAGCCAACACAACCATAAATTTTGTCTTCAAATTCTAATCTGACTTCCTATCTTTACAACCAGGGATAAAAAGTTGCTTACAGCGAAAAAAAACAAAACAAAGGCAACTTAGAAAGTTACTTTAAACTATAGCGGTTTTAGGATTAAGCATAGAGGAATCACTTTGATGAGGAAGCTAGAACAAATAATTTCAACTTCGGGTTTCAGGAACAAACAAAACTATGTAGTAGAACTGATGTACGGGCATTTAAAAGCTTTGTTTTTCAGTTGATTTGTGATGAAGCTGTATTCTGATTCTATTTATCTATTTCTCGCTGTTAATTTTATAGACTAAGTAATCTATCATTGTCAGTTTGATATTAGATAATTTAGACAAATTTATTTGTCTGTTTTT